TGACATTTTATCCCAGATGAATTTGGAGTGATGCATTTTCAGTCATGACATAGGTCTGTGACTGAGAAGAAAATCAGAGGAGGCAGCTAAAAATAGGGAGATGGCTTTGAATATGGTTTAAAATATGAGATGTTCAAAGATGGATCCAATAATGTTAGTGTCTCTAAAGGGAATGTATAAACTCACACAGAGTATGGCAGTCTGCTGAAATCTCTTAAAATTCAGTGGCAGTGATGGATGGACCTGGACTTTTATACCCAGTGGTTTAGACCCCATCCAAATGGTCTGCAGGCTGTCCCACATACTTATGGGTACAACATATGTTCACTGAGGAGGCAGTAATAATTTGCTCTTTTCTCACACTGTTTCTCACTAAGAAAGACTAGAAAAGGGCACTAAAGATAGGAAGCTAGCAGAAGCAACAAAATGGAGAGTAGTGAAAGACTGAGAATGCTGCTGAATCGAACGGTTGCTGGGGAAACACCCACAGGAGCTGGCTGTTGCTCTCTTGTCTTGTTTGTGAGCTTCCCAGAGGCATCTTGTTGGCCACTGAGGGAACAGGATGCTGGAATAGGCCAGCCTTTGTTTTGATCAAGCAGGGCTCTTCACCTGTTCTTCTCAGAAACAGCAGAGATGTTCAGAGGCAGTGAAAAAATAGGTCAGTTTTTATAGGATATCCCCCAGAGAGGAAGAAATGGAGACTGTTAAGGAAAGGTTAAACTTCATGGCCAAAGCTTCAGATGGCAGGAGAAATGGGACTTGGCCAACTGAAGCTTTGGTAATGAATTTATAAATTATACCTAGGACAATTGTTTTTATTTAACTATTATAGAATCCAGCATTGTCAGCACCTTTGAGGGTTGCTCCTAGCCCCATGATTGCTTGCTGCATGAGAGCGATGACAGGTCTGAGGAGGAGAAGTTCCCATTAGTAGGTACTGTCTTGTAACTGTTCACAATGCTGGATTCAGTAATGACTGACTGGGGCTAATGCGCCTGAGGCACATAATATTTGGATTGCAGAGCACCCCATGTCATATCTTTCTTTTAAAATTATTATTATTAATAAGTTACAATCCTCTAGTCACATATCAGAAAAGAAAAAAGTAATAACCTATACAGTGACACTTCCAATAATTGTCTTACCTATAGTATACTAATAATTTTTAAACATTTATATATGTTCTCCTTCTAACCTTACAGTTATTCAAACTAACCAGCATTTCAGCCCATTTTTCCAATTGATCTCCTGGAACCAGAGGCCAACGAGGGATTCTGTACTTCCATAAATTTATCTTGTTTTATTTCACTTCTATAGAGTTTAATGCGATAGGTCAGTTTTTCCATCAGAGCCAGCCTCCTTATTCTATTTTGAAATCTTTGCAAGGGCAAGTCCTGAGTGTCCTTCCAGTTTTGGTCAATTTCATTACGGGCTCCTCCTAATATAATTGTAATTAGTTCTTTATTCACAATGTTTTCGTTCCGTCCGCGTAAATAACAAAAAAAGTAGCAACATTTCATTTGAGATTTTTTTTTCTTTTGTTATACTTTCCAACCACTTAATTACCTCAGACCAGAAAATTTCCCCTCTTGGGCATGTTAACCACATATGTTCCAAAGTTCTTTTATTCCTGCACTTCCTCCAACACATATCTGATATTCCTTTATTTATTCTGTTTAATTTTGCAGGGTATAAGTGCTATCTGTGCACTACTTTTAACACTGTATCTTTAGCTTGAGATGAAACTGATTTGTAAGGTTGAGAGGTCCATATTCTTTTCTATGTGTTTTCTAATATTTAAATTTTTAAGTTTGTCTCCAAATTGTTTATCCATAATATTTTTATAAATTGTTGAAATTAACCCTGTTTTCCTTTTATTCCCTATCTCTATACAATATTTCTCTATTTCTGTTAATGGTCTATTTGAGCCTGGTGTTTTATCCAGTTGAGTTGACAAATTTCTGATTGGTTAACTGATACCAATTAGTTGCTATATACCTAGTTTTCTCCTGGAGTTGTCCGATTGTAATAGGTTTTCCTTGTATAAACAAGTCTCTTATTCTATACATTTCTCTCTCTTTCCATTGTTTAAATTGTGTGTATTTATCTTGAAATTTAAATTTAGGGAGCGAAGATTATATCTGGAGTAATTCTTTAGTAAAAAGATTCCGTATTTGTTTCTCATTTGTCAAGATTCTTTCTTTATATAAATATACGTCCAATGACTTTCCTTGTTCTTCTTTCTCCATTCTTGCCCATTCAGGAGTCTTGCAATCTTGTATAAGTTTGATTACGTAAGCTTTGAAAAGCTTCATCATATTTTAGTAAATATGGTATTGCTAGTCCTCTATTTCTACTTGGGCCATACTTAACGGTGTTTATAAATCTCAGGGATTTACTTTTCCCTGCAATAAAATTTTCCAATATGTTTTGCCATTGTTTTATCTTTTTCGTTTCCAATTGTAGAGGGATATTTTTATCATGTCATGTCTTTTTGACACATTGACTGTCCGAGAAGGTCGAGTTCTCTCTGATCAATTCTCAGAGCCATCACTTTAAGCTCAGGCAAAGGATCACATTTCATGTTGATCTTCAGTTTGCTGGGATTCTGTCAGTGCGCCTCTTCCTCAGATTGAGTTCCTGTCCCAACTGCATCTCCCAATTCTTGATGTGGGTGGCCACTCCAAGAGAGACCCTGAGATTGTCATCCAATAACCAGGCCTTCTCAGTAGTGGTCACCTCACTTTGGAATTCTCTTCCGATTGAGATACGCTAGGCACCCAGTCTCCTTAGCTTTAGGAAATAAATCATAACCTGGCTTTATACCTAGGACTGAAAGCCTCTCTGTTTTTAAATTTATTTATTTTTGCTGGGTTATTTTTGCAACGGCCCTGCATTGATTGTTTATTGTTACATGTTTAAGCAACTGTTTTGTTTCTGCCATCTTGTGACTTAATTAGATGATGGGTTATGTTGGGGTAGTATTTTTCATATGATTATTGCTTTAATTTGTTTCTTGTGTTAGATTTTGTAGAGCCCAGAGTAATGGCTTGCCACTAGTTGGGTGGGGTTTCCCTCCCTCCCTCCCTCCCTCCCTCCCTCCATCCTGGATTCAGGATCACAGCACAACCATGCAGTATGCAGCGTTCAGCTCTGTGTCATAATCAGTGTTATTATGCATCCAGATGCTGAGCAGTGCCTTTTATGGTTTTCTGCATTTGGCGCTTTTCCACTTATATCCTGTATGTCACTCCTGACTAGCCTTGCCCACTTCGTATACACTAGAGACTCAAGGAGCTCATAACTTCAAAATGTTAATAACTCTGACATTTCTCCTTGAATACTTGCTGGTTGTTGCAACTCTTTTCTTCTTACTTTCAATCTCCTCAGCAGCTTCTCTGTATAATTTCAGCACTGAGCTGCATTCTTAAGACCAATGAACGGCTTCAGAAAAAGGATGAAGGGAAATTCTGGTGGGACAGTACGAGTCTGGAAGGGAGGTGGTGGTGGGAATCATCTGATTTAGCGGTCCCTGTGATGAAAAAGAAATAGCTAAAATGAAACATCCTGTCTGTAGGCATCGAGCATGTCAGCTGGAAGGGTTCTAGTTTCTGTATTACTTATAAAGTGGTTTTGAAAATTGCTCCCAAATATGTATTACACAAGGCAAGCGTACCAGCTCAGGAGGGCTTGCCAATGGTGCCTGTTCCTAGACAAGGAAGACCTACCCATATGTTACTAGCACTAAGGCTGAGATACAGCAAAGTCCTTTCAAAAACGTGTCCAGCTTGAATGATGGCTGGAGCCAATTATTGGATGCATGTGATTTCCTCTCGGCAGTAACTTCTTCTGGCCTGTTTTTCAGTCCACTTCAAAGTTCTGGGTTTCAAAATCTGTGAATTGTGCATTAGTCGAGGACAGAGATATCCAAAGACCTCCTCCTCATGTCCTTATTCATTAAGATGCTAGAGAAATCTCCACATATAACATCTACAATATGTTTGACTGAGACATGACAATAGGCATCTCTTGTGACTGTTTCAGCCACTGGAACTTGCTGTCTAGGGTGGCCCACTTTGCCCCCTTAATGATTGGCTTCTGAGATTTGGCTAAGAGCTTTTTATTTTTACACGCTTTCTGCTTGCTGATAGTTTTACCCTCCCTGGAAGTTTTGTAATTTTAACACCTAGTACCTTTTCTCCTTTTCTCTTTTAACACTCAGTTTTTAAAATGCTAATTGCTGGTTGTCTCCTTTTTGTGCTGTAACCACTGTATCTATGTAATGAACAGGTGGGCATGAATGTGATAGGTGAATGCCATTGACAAAGACAGAGATAAACTGGCTGAATTCTAAGGAACATTCAAAACATGTACTACATCTACAAATACATACTCACTTTCCCTGGTCAGTAAACATAAAACACAAGAGTAAGTTGAGAAGAATTACAAGACACACATGGTTGCTTTTGAATGAGCAATGGATTACCTCTTTCTTTCCATAATGTTGCTAATTGTTGCATGTTTGGGTGAACACAGATTCTTACTAACAAGAGCCAGGAGAAGGGAAATAAAGTAAGTGTTAGAATACCTTCAGCAAAATCTTCTAAACCCTTTTGCAATCTGGAATTGCACTTGTTACTAAAGGAGATGACGTAGCATCAATGTCTATTTTTTAACAAGAAAACAATTTCAGCATTGTTTTCATACAGGAAGAAAAAGAGAGAGAGAGGGAGGGAGGGGGGATTCTATAGATAATGCACAGAAAACTTCACATTCTCAGGATTTTTAATAGAAAAATGTAAATAAAATCATAGGAGTATTAAATCTGATATTCCTTTAAGGTTCATGCTTAATTTAGTGTAATAAACAGTGCCAACTTTTGTGTTGTAATAAACGCAGGAGTCTATTAATCTGTTACAAACACTGGAGCCTGTCATATAAGTTATTAAATTCTAGGGTGGTACACGTGTCAGTGGACTCATGTTCTCCTTGTTTTGCAGGTCACGATTCTCATCAGCCTGGCTCTGGCTTTCCTTGCCTGCATAGTGTTTCTTGTGGTGTACAAAGCTTTTACTTATGACCACAGTTGCCCAGATGGATTTGTCTATAAGGTAAGGAGTCTGAGATGGATAACCTTGGCTGCGTGGCTACAGTTTAATAGTGCTTTTCCCCATCAGAATCAAAGACATTATTTGTCAAATATGTGATGAAAAGTGGTTAGTGTTTTAGGAAAGTGGGGTTCATGGCACGGTCTTCCAGCTGCAGTCATCTGAATGTGATGGGAATAAATTTGCATTATGACTGTAACCAATCCAGTACATTTCTGAACAATCTCACACAGACGGTTTTGAGTTAACTTGCTTTCACTATTAGCCATGGATCAATGTTACATTTTGGAGGTTTTCTGGCAAGTTTCCACAGATACTAAATTTGTGCCCATACAGAGAAGGAGGACATTTTAATGGTTGATGGTTCAATGAAGGCTATGTAAAGGAAGAATTGGTTTCCCAGAAAGAGAAAAACTGAGTAGGTGATACATTTTGTTGTACAAGTTTCTGGGTAAAGCAAGGTGGAAGAACCCAGTTCAAAGTCTCACAATGGGAGAAAACTGGAGTTGTGGAGTGAGTTTAAGGGAAAATTGGGTCTTGAGAAGCATGGAAATTGCTTGATACTGAATAATTATGGACTGATCCTGTCTGGATGTTACAAAGAATCTGACAGAGCCTTTAATAGCAAAAGGACCAGTTTCTGAGACTTTGGGATGATATGCTATTTGCGTGGAGGAGAAACCCCCCCTTTTCTTGATGATACCAATAACTGTCATGACTCCATCCTGTACAATCCTGCAATCTGAGGTTTTGTGACAGAGTTCACTGCTAGAGAGCTCAAAGTCACTCCCCTGAACTGCAGCACTATAGCTCTGGAGCAGAGCTAAACCCCTCAGATGCCAAGAGACTATCAATGAAACATCCCAAGATTCTGTAGGGTGGGTCCATAGCAGTTAAAGTGGCATCAAACCTCTACTTGATGATCCATAGGGTCCCTTCCAGGTCTGCAGTTCTAAGATGATGATGATGATGATAACTGTGTAGTGTAGATACATGTCATCAAAGAAGTTTCATGGTTGACTGGAAAGTATTCATTGCCTCAATGGATGTCTGGTCAGTGGGACTTACAGCCATCTAGGTATATAATGGATTCCAAGCAAAATGTTCTCAGTTTTGCAAACAGATACGAGATGATTCATGGTGCTGCTCTTTTGTGCCTGCATGTAACTGACAGCTCTTGCTTTCCCATTATCTGTAGCATAAGCGGTGCATTCCAGCCTCCTTGGATGCTTACTATTCAGCTCAGGATTCCAACTCCCGGGGCAGATTCTACACTGTCATCAGCCATTACAGCATGGCCAAGCAAACCAGCTCACGGTCCGTATCTCCCTGGCTTTCTTCAGGATCGGTAAACCACGAAACGAAGGCCACCAAGACAGAAGGCCATTAAAGCTATTTGGTGGGCCAAGGATGGAAGGGAATTGGGGGGAGGGAAGCATTTTGTCTCTAAAGCATTGCTCTGATTCAGAGAGGGCACCATGCTTTCATTGTAACAAAAATAAACCAACTTTAAGTCCAGGTGTCCCCTTAATGGATAATTCTCTCTCTGCTTCTGTCTCTCTCTCTCTCATCCCCTCCCTTCTCCCTCCTTTGGTGCGTTGTTCTAGTTCATTTGTAACTAAGTCAAGATCTTGTACAAAGGCATGTTAGGTGTTGACTATATCCTACAATGTACAAATATTTTTAAAATCATTGCTTAATATTTGTTAAGAAAATAAAAATTAAAAAAAAACCAACCAAACAAACAAAAAAAGCAAATCCAGAGAACATTTGCAAAGAAATGGAAGAAATGGGAAAAGGAATTGGAGCTCCAAAACCACACAAAAATATGTTATGGGGTTTGACTATCAGAATATGATAAAATAGGCAAACTAATGTTAGTTGTGACAGACTTTATGATAGATGATTATGATACCCAAAGGTAATACTCAATGAGCTGGAAAAAACCCTTAAAGGTGTCTGTATGTGCACATTCTTAGTCTAGTCACTCAGTGCTTTGTTTGGATGTCCATAGTGCGGTTGCTGCCATTAAAGTGAATGGGAAAACCCTAACATACAAGGAAGATGGTGTCCATCATGGAGCTCCTGAACATGTGGCAAAACTGTTGGATCATGTTGTGGAATGTTGCATCCTGGCTATTCCTCTGTGGTTGTCTGTTCCATTCCGGAAAGGGAAACAACTCTGTATAAGTGCATGCATGTAACATGTATCTATTGACTGCCAACAATTTTGAATAGAGTCTTTCCCCACAATCTCAAACATCAGAGCCCAGAAAGCAGATACCAAGTTACAGCCAATCAGGTGGCAAATAATTCTCTTTTTTCCTAATACGTGCTCTAGAATATATTAAAAAGCCCAGAATAATGGAGTTGGGAGAGGCCTATATAAGAGTCCAAACCATTCTCAGTGCAGGAATCCAAATTAAAGTACATCTGACAGTTGTCTAATCTTCTCTCGAACGCCACCAGTGTTGCAGCACTCACCAACTCCCTAGGAAACTGGCTCCATTGTTGTACTGTTCTACAATTATACTTTTGCTGATATTCAACCAAAATCTGGCTTCCTGTAACTTGAACCCATTATTACATATCCCACACTCTGGGATGATTGAGAACAGATCCTGCCCCTCCTCTGTATGATAGCCTTTCAAGTATTTGGAATGTGGTATCATACAGTATCTCCCATCAGTCTTCTTTTCTCAAGGCCAAACATGACCAGTTCTTTCAGTCTTTATTCACAGGGCTTGTTTTCCAGCCCCCTGACCATCCTTGATGCCCTCCTCTGAACTTGTTCCAGTTTGTCAGCATCCTTCTTAAAAGTGCAGTGTCCAGAACTGGACACAGCACTCAAGATGTGCTGAATAGAGGAGAGTTAGTACTTCACAGGATTTGAAAACTATACAGTGGTGCCACACTTTACGATTGCCTCGCATTACAAGAAAACCGCATAACGACGATCTTTTTGCGATCGCAATTGCAATTGCAAAACGATGGTCTGAATGGGGGAATTTCACTTTGGGATGATCGGTTCCCTGCTTCGGGAACTGATGCTTCGTAAATTGACGTTTTTCGAACAGCTGATTGGCGGTTACAAAATGGATCACCGGGTGATTAAAATGGCTCCCTGCTGTGTTTAGGGATGGATTCCTTGCTATACAGACAGCGAAAATGGCCGCTGTATGGAGGATCTTCGCTGGATGGTGAGTTTTTACCTCATTGGAACACATTGAATGGGTTTCAATGCGTTTCAGTGGGGTTTTTATTTTCACGTTACAATATTTTCGCTTAATGACAATTTTCCTGGAACTGATTATCGTTGTTAAGCGAGGCACCACTGTACTATTAATGCAGCCTAAAATTTGCCTTTTTTGAAGTTGCACCATACTGTTTGCTCATATTCAGCTTGTGAGCTACAAAAATTCAGTTGTTCAATTAGACTGAACAAAAACTGGAGCAGGATTATCTGAAATAACTTTCACTTTCTTTTTAACAAGGTGAATTTTCCCATGCATTGTACATTATTTTTAAGAGGCATAAGCTATTTAGGGTTGACAAAACATAGATGACAAAACATTTGTTGCACTTTATATCCATTGATGGTACCAGTATTTGTTCTGCCATCAAGTAGAAACAAAGCTTAAACTAGTGCCAACTATGACAAAATGTAACAAAAACTTGTTACCTGTGATTTTCTAACCACTTGTAGGGAGGTGAATAGTTTTCTTTTTGTTTCACAATATAAAAGCAGCAGAGTTCAGATAGCAGGAGCTTCTCTAATTGGAAGTATTCCATTTAGCGCTATTTTGGTTATATAACTTTCCCCCATTCTCCCAAAAAACCCAACAGAAATTTAAGAGTTTCCTACAGATTTATAAATAGTGTTTTGTTTTTGCTTTTTAAGACAGCTGATTTCCAAAGTGGAATAGCAGGAGATATCCACTGGGTTAGAAGCTTTCAATTTAGCACTCCCTCAGTTCATTAAACCAACCCTTCTTCCCAAAAGTCCAGCAGAAGATCAATTCTAAGGATTTCTCCACATTTTTAAGAGTGGTTCTTGAAGATGATTGACTTCCAAGGTGAATTAACAGCAGACATCTGCTGCCGCTAGCACTAATCTACTAAAGAAAAAGAAAACAATACACCAAGCAGACAAAACCATAAAGGAGATCTCCAAGGATGTCTTCACAGTTTTTGAAAGATTGTTAATCCAGTCTTCGAAGAGGGAATGGAAGAGAAGTGGGATAGAAATAAGTGGCACAAAACATCACAAAGCAAGAAAAAACAAACACTCTGGCTGGACAAACCCTCTAATTAGCTTTCTTTGCAGGTAGCTTACCAAAAGAAAATAATAATCCAGATCTATATTTTCACAAAATTAGCATAGCCATCTAGGATCTCTAAGCTGTTCCTCTCCAGCTGTTTATCATCCCATTCAGACTTCCCCTGCCCACCTGTTAGAAATCGTTAAAAGTAATACCCTGTTTCCCCGAAAATAAGATCTAACCTGAAAATAAGCCCTAGTATGATTTTTCAGGATGCTCGTAATATAAGCCCTACCCCAAAAATAAGCCCCACTTAAGTGAAACCCTGCCCTCCACCATTGTGCAGCAACTAGAAGATGACATGACTGTAAAATAAAACATCCCCTGAAAATAAGCCCTAATGCGATTTTTGGAGCAAAAATTAATATAAGACCCTGTCTTATTTTCAGGGAAACACAGTAATAACAACAACAACAAAAAAAAACTGTTTTCCACAGGTATTATTTTACTATAAGAGCTTGCATTCAATTGCACAGAGTACCCTGCGTCAGTACAGTCCCAGAGACCAAGGGGGAAAAAAAGGCATGACACAGAACTCATATTTATAAGGCACTTGTTTGTGTCTTATAAATCAGTGTCAAGCGCTGAACCCCAAGGTGTTGTTTTGCTACTGAGCTGTGGCTTTCCAAAATTTGGAGCCGGATGGGCTCTTTCTTTATGGTACTCTCTCATGAATAATTTCCCAGATCACATGGATGCTTTCCATGGCAGTGGCTGCAATGAGAACTGTTGACACAGGAAGTCCCGGGACAGTGTCTGAAGACACATGGAGAAGCCATTTGTGAGAAACTGAATTGGCCTGGGTCTGGATGGAAATGGAGTTAGAAACAAGATGGATCTGCCCTGAGTCCAAACACATAAGTCAAGTGAGATGCAATATACTGAATAGATAAATATTATGCCTGCTGTGAATTAATATACTGTAGGTTGGACAGTCTGGAAGTTCTCACTCAGATCTCCTTCATGGACATTTTTAAACAGGAACTGGATTGCCATCTGTCAAGGATGCTTTAGGAGTGAATTTCCTGCACTGGGAAAGGTTTGTATCAGATGGGCCTCAGCTCAATTCCAGCTCTAAAAATCTATAATTCTTATGGTAAAGTTCCTTTATGATGTTAGCAGAGCCATTGAGAATGGTGAATTTTATTGGGATGCACAAATCATGTAGCTGATCAAGTGGGAGATCATCTCCAGGTGCAATGAACCTCTGAATTTGTTGCCTAATGTCTGATTGGCAAGATGGGTCTTGGATGGGTTTAAATGGGGCGTTTGTTTCTTCTTCCTGCTGCAAAATTGGTTTGTGTCCATTTTGCCCTCAGTTTCATGAAGAATCAAGGGCATAATCCACCAAGCCTGACTCCCATCCACATTTTACTTGCATTAATGGGATGTACTTGGGCATGGTTAGGGAGAGCAGTTGTTGACCAATTACGCCCTCATTAAACGAATTAAATTAAAATTTGGACTCAATTTAAAGAAAGACATAGCAAAGCAGAGCTAGATTAAAGCCAATCAGATGATTACTGTCTGGAAGTGAGAGTCCTAGAGAATAGACTACAGAGTCAGATATCTGATTTAAGTCAAATGCTTCTGTGTTGTTTGCCAAAAGGGCCGGGGGGACGGTGGGGGAGGGGGGAGGAGGCAAAGCTCATTGAGTTGGAGCTGGAGTCTCAAAAGGCATAATGATAAATGGTTGTATAATGTAGCCAAAAATGTAGTGCCAAATCTCATTGTCTGACTTTTTATCCCTGTCTCTACCCGTTCCCTCTTCATGCTTCACCTGTAAATCCATTTCTCACTGGAAATGTAAAAATACATCAGAAAAAGAAAACAATGCCCAGAACAATTACTGGACAATTTATAATTTTGTGGTGTATCGTATGTCAGTAGGTAGAAGAGACTGAAGTATTTTTTGGTGTAGTTCTTGACCTTTTCTGACAGGACAAATAAAGCTAGATGTGTCTGAGCGTCTCAACTGTTGTGATAGAGTTATTTGCTTCTGTCCTCTCTTTCCCCCTTTCTATCACTCCCGGGAGTGGTCATGGATGGATGAGAGAAATATTATTCCTAAAATATGTTCTTCAGGACTTGAGTCACCACTTCTCTGGCAAAATCAACAGGACCGTGACTGAATTACTAACCCAAAATGAATGAGCAATAAAATGGTGATTCAATGAGACACCGCCCCCATCATCAACCAAGACATATAAGGACTTTTAAATGCTGCTCTGATCACATGCATATCATACCTGTACATCAGTAAACTAGAACTATAAGAAAGGATATTATTGCAGCCCTTCTATGTGTCTCAACAATATTGTCCCTTTACAAAGGAGTTACTTTTGATGAATGTGTTAAGAATAAAAGAGAAAGGTGTCTTGGGGGGGTGTCAGAAACTAGATTTAGGATACAGAGAACTGGCAAGGCTGATGCTTCAAACAGCATGATTTTTAATCTATGTTTTAAATGCATCTTATTCTCTCTCCTCTCTTCTGAAAAAACAAAGCAAAACCCTTCAGACTTAATCATGGTCATAGCACAGTTAATATGATTTTGTTTGGCAAAATTAAAGATGTTACTGTTTTCACGATAAGAAATAGAGCATCACATGGAATTTCAGTTAAGTGAAATTTGTTATTTTTCACATATTAAATAGCTGTACTTAGTTCTGTATCTCACCCCTATTTGAAATGTACATTACTTTATGCTCCTGTCAAATACTATTACATTCTTCCTTCTGCATACTGCCATTTATTTTCATTAAGTGTGATTGAAATAACAGACAAGACTGCAACAGCATTTTGAGAATTATACCATTTTTCAGTTTTGGACCAGCAGGGTGTACAGCCCAATATAAAGCAGGAAATTTAGTAATAATAGCTTGGTAGATTCCGAGGTCCGATTCCCACAGTTCTGCATGTGGAACCACAGCTGCATCTCCTAGAATGTTTCTAGGCAGAAGGGCTCCTTGCTCATAACTCCTTGCTCATAACCCTTAATGGGTTTTCCATAGTCAGGAAAAAGACTGAACAAACAAGGAAGAGTCACACTGAATAAGGCAGATGAATGTTTCATTTGAAAAAACTCCCAAGTTGCAAGATCTAGAATAGCAGATACTCACTATGGCTTATGGCCCACTAAGGAAGTGAATACCTATGGACACTTAATTGGAAGATATACTTATTGAGTATGGTGGCACTCAATCCAAGTAAATGTGCATAG